GTGTGTGTCTTGTGAGTGTGTTAGTGTGTGTCTGTGTGTGTGCGTTGAGTGTGTGTCTGTGTGTGTGTGTCTGTGTGAGTGCCTGTGTGTGAGTGTGTCTGTGTGAGAGTGTGTCTGTGTGAGAGTGTATCTGTGTCTGTGTAAGTGTGTGTGTCTGTGTGTCTGAGTGTCTGTGTGTGTGTGTGTGAGAGTGTGTGAGAGTGTATCTGTGTCTGTGTGAGTGTCTGTGTGTGTGTGTCTGTGTGAGTGTGTGTATCTGTGTGTCTGTGTGAGTGTTTATGTGTGTCTGTGAGTGTCTGTGTGTCAGTGGGTGTGTGTGAGAATGTCAGTGTCTGTGTGTCTGTGTGTGTCTGCGTGAGTGTCTGTGTGTCTGTGTCTGTGAGAGTGTATCTGTGTGTGAGAGTGTCTGTGTGTGAGTGTGTGTCTGTGTGTCTGCGTGTGTGTCTGTGTGAGAGTGTCTGTGTCTGTGAGAGTATATCTGTGTGTGAGAGTGTCTGTGTGTGTGTCTGTGTGAGTGTCTGTGTGAGTGTGTGTGTCTGTGAGAATGTATCTGTGTGTGAGAGTGTCTGTGTGTGAGTGTGTGTCTGTGTATCTGAGTGTGTCTGTACACACAGTGGTGTGGGTGTTGTCTGGCATGGGGGTGGGGGAGGGTGTCCAGCCCCCAGGTTGTCACTGGCTGTGATGGGCAGGGCGGGTGGTGTGGCAGTATTGTGGGCCTGCCTCTCTGGATCTGGCCTAGTGGAGAGAATGGGGGATGGGAGGGGGAGAAGGGTGGCCCTGGGCGGGCGACTGCCCTATTTACCTCTTGCCTCCCGCCTCCCACTGCCCATCCTCTGCGGGTCTGTGTCTCTGCCAGGCTCCTCTGCCCGCCTGGCTCTGATGACTCATCTGGGATTGGCAGGAAGGTTACTCAGGGAACAAGGGCCTGCTGTTCTGACAGTAGGGGGGGTGGGGGTGGGGGGGGTTGGTTGGTGGTGGAGAGCGGCACCCAGGGTTCCAGGCCCCTATGGGTGGCTCCTGGAGACTAGGTATGATGCTCTGGTTCTAGCTCTGACTGGATGCAGGGTGCCCTCGGTAACTCATCCCTCAGCTGCTGCTTCAGAGCTGCGGGGTCTCAGCTGCCTCTTACATTCCTGCCTAGAGCATTGTGGGAGCAGCTGGAGGAGGACAAAAGGATGGGGGAGTGTGCCCCACTCCTCCTACACCCTGAGGTGACCTCAGCCCTGGGCCCTTCCCCCTTCAGAAAGTGGGGGCGGGGGCACAGGTGGTCTGGGCTCAGGAGGGAAGGCACAGCTGGAAGAGCTGCAGCGTGAAGGGTGGTCCTGGGTCCCTCAGGTTCCAGGGCTGGGGGCTCAGTGTGGCCCCGGGAAGAGGACAGGCCAGGCTGCTTTTCCTGCACAGGCTGGAGGGGTAGTCCCACCTGCAGGGCTGGAGGGGTAGTCCCACCTGCAGGGCTGGAGGGGTAGTCCCACCTGCAGGGCTGGAGGGGTAGTCCCACCTGCAGGGCTGGAGGGATAGTCCCACCTGCAGGGCTGGATGGGGTAGTCCCACCTGCAGGGCTGGAGGGGTAGTCCCACCTGCAGGGCTGGAGGGATAGTCCCACCTGCAGGGCTGGATGGGGTAGTCCCACCTGCAGGGCTGGAGGGGTAGTCCCACCTGCAGGGCTGGAGGGATAGTCCCACCTGCAGGGCTGGATGGGGTAGTCCCACCTGCAGGGCTGGAGGGGTAGTCCCACCTGCAGGGCTGGAGGGATAGTCCCACCTGCAGGGCTGGATGGGGTAGTCCCACCTGCAGGGCTGGAGGGGTAGTCCCACCTGCAGGGCTGGAGGGATAGTCCCAGTTGGGGAGAAGTCCCACCTGCAGGGCTGGAGGGGTAGCCCCACCTGCAGGACTGGAGGGGTAGTCCCACCTGCAGGGCTGGGGAGATAGTCCCAGGGTTCGTTAGGAGATGCCGTTGGAATGGGTTCCGTTGGGACGAGCTGCCTGGCCCCGGGGGGAAGAGCAGGGGTCTCAGGCGTTCCTGGCACAGATCCCGGGAGGGCCAGGGTGAGGCCTGAGGCCCGTGCTTCTCCCACGTTTCCCGGTGTTGCCGAGGCCTGGTCCCGGGACCACACTGGGCCAGTAGGCTACCGGGAGCTGTGAGGTTGGAAGCTGCTGGGGTCCCCCACTTGTCTTAAAAATCTGGGCTCCTAGATGGGGAGGGGACCAGAGATCAGCCCAGCGTCTGGTTCCCGGGAAGCATTCTAGAAACAGAGCGGATGCTGTCCAACAACGCAGTGTCCCTTCCTGCCATTTTCCCCAAAGCAGCCCGTTCGGCCTGTCTGTTGCTGGCTGCGGCCCTTCTCCTTGGTTGCCCTTTAACTTACCCTCCCCCCCATTGTGTCCCCTGCAGAGATGCTGCCCCCACCCCCTTAGGCCCAAGGAATCAGGAGCTATGGGGCTGGGGGCCCTCTCATCTCTACTGCTGCTGCTGTTCTCGGTGGCAACTGGAGGTGCTGACATGACAGGACATTTCAACCCTGGTGAGGAGGCTGGCTCTTGGGTCCCTGAGGGAGGGACTTGGGAGACAGAGAGTCAGAGGCAGGCCCTCACCTGCCTGTCCTCACCCAGCCAAGTGCCGCTATGCCCTGGGCATGCAGGATCGGACCATCCCAGACGGGGACATCTCTGCCTCTAGCTCCTGGTCAGACTCCACGGCTGCTCGCCACAGCAGGTACCGGGCACACCGGGCAGGGCGGCCCTGGAGATTAGCTCCTGGGGTCTCTACTTGCCCCTCCAACCCCTCTGCGCAAGCCAAGAGGCTTCTGGAGGGCCAAAGCCAATGCAACCCCACAGTCCTGGGGGCTTTAAATACTAGAGCCAGAGGCAGACCCAGGGCCAGACGTTCCCTGTGACCTCCTGCCCCCTCCCAGGCTGGAGAGCAGCGATGGGGACGGGGCCTGGTGCCCAGCAGGGCCGGTCTTTCCCAAGGAGGAGGAGTACCTGCAGGTGGATCTTCGGCGGCTGCACCTGGTGGCTCTGGTGGGCACCCAGGGGCGGCACGCTGGAGGCCTGGGCAAAGAGTTCTCACCCAGCTACCGGCTGCGCTACTCCCGGGACGGCCACCGCTGGATGGACTGGAGGGACCGCTGGGGTCAGGAGGTGAGGCTGGCAGGGCGACAGCCAGGAGGGGTGGCTCTCTTCTCTCCTCTACTGACCATCCTCAGTCCACGCCCTCTCCAGCCCAAACCTCTCACCTGAGCTCCATCAAGCACTGCTCAACCTGGGCGTCCAAGGGGGCCTCGAACTTACCATCAGCTTCCCAAGCTGAGCTTGAGTCCCACGCCCGCCCCAGCCCGTCGCCCCCCCTCCCCCCTCCTCTGTGTCTCCAGCTCAGGAAATGGCACCACCATGTGCCCAGGGCTCAGGTCAGGAGCTAAGATGATATCCCCAACTCTGTTCTCTTGCCTCCTGCTTCGGACGCATCAGCAAGACCAGTCTGTGCTACCTCCTGCTGTTTCCTGCCTCCACCACTCCCCACCGCCCTCTTCCACCTGCCCTGGGCGAGCCCCACCATCCCCACCCCATCCCGCTCAGGTGCAGGCTTGAGGGATCTCTTAGCTGTTCTCCCTGCTCCCGCCCACCCTGCCTGTCAGATCTTGCCTTTGAGGCGACATTAGTGTTTTTCAGACGAGGCCGTCAGGCCCGCATAGGCATGTCTCTCCTCAACCCTAAGGGACCCGCACAATTGGCGGACCAGGGCACCACCGAGCAGTGGCAGCTCATCCTGGGTAACCCTGACCCTGTCCCCAAGGCCTCCTTTTCTCTGACCTGTTTCATTCATCCATTTAATCAATCCTTGACCAAGGAATGAGGATATTTTTTCCTTTGATTTTTAACGAGAGAGGAAGGGGAGAGAGAGAGTGAGATATGCTATGAGAGACACATCCACTGGTTGCCTCCCACACGGAGTCCACCTGGCCCTGGGGTGGGGATCAAACCTGCAACCAAGGCACGCACCCTCGACCAGGAATCGAACCTGTGGCTCTCTGCTGCACAGGCAGAATCTCTAACCACTGAGCACCGGCCAGGGCTTCTCTGACTTCTTAGTGAGCCAGCAGCCCAGCCCTGCCGCCCTTCCCTGCCTAGTCCCTCCCTGTTGCGTTTTCTACCCTAGGCTCTCCTATGTTTCACTGTTTCCAACTTTAATAAACTCAAAATAAAAAAATTAAAAAGGAGATGGACGTCCGATGGGGCACAGTGGCTGCAGGCCGCGGTCGGCTCCCGCTCGCCAGAAACAACACTTGGCCTGCCTGGCCCTGGCCGCACCCGTTACCCTGTCCTTGCCCGCTGGCCACCCTGGCTTTCTGGCCATTCATGAACCAGCTAGGGCTCATCCCACACCTTCAGCACTTTCACTGGCTATTCTCTGCCTGGAAAGCTCCTCCTGCCCCATGTCCACCCCTTGCCCAAGGCTCGCCCTCCCCCCCTCTCCCCCGAGATGTCGCCTCAGCCAGCCTTTTCTGGCCACCCCCCTCCCACTGCTCCAGCCCCACTGCTGCCTCATTCTTCACAGCTGTCTCCCTGTGGGATCCGTCCACAGGGGAGGGACTGGCGCTCACCAGCGAGGGTTTGCCGGCCCATGGTGGGCTCTGGGCACCTGCAGAGGGGCTGGCGGGCTAGGGTGGGAGCAGGTGATGGGATGGCAGACCTGCCTTTCCCACCCATCCACCCTGTTCCCTGGCCTGCAGGTGATCTTGGGAAATGAGGACCCGGGGGGAGTGGTGCTGAAGGACCTGGGGCCCCCCATGGTGGCCCGACTGGTTCGCTTCTACCCCCGGGCTGACCGGGTCATGAGCGTCTGTCTGCGGGTGGAGCTCTACGGCTGCGTCTGGAAAGGTGAGTTGTTCAGAGGCTCTTCCTCCCCACTCCCAACTGTTTCCCTATCCTGGGGTCAGGGTGGGGTGCAGGGGGAGGGGCATCCAGGGCCTCTCCCTTGGGGAGCCTCATTCTGAGTGAGGAGAGGACTGGCCAGCATGGCCTCCCCCAAGCCTGCCCTCATGCCCCCTCCCGCTCTGCCCAGATGGACTGCTATCGTACACGGCCCCTGTGGGGCAGACGATGAACTTGATGAACTTGGCTGAGGCTGTGCACCTCAACGATTCCACCTACGATGGACACACCACGCACACCGTTGGCGGGTGAAGAAGCAGGCCCTGCAGGACAGGCCT